CCTTTCTAAAAATATTCATTTATTTATTTGACTGCACAGCTCTTATAATTTTGGCATGTGGGTATCTTCCCTGACCAGGGGTCAATCCCAGGCTCCCTGCCTTGGGAGGGAGGAGTCTTAGGCACTGGACCACCAGGGAAGTCCCAAGCCTATCCATCTTAAAGTTTCAGAAACTGTGTCAAGGACCATACGAAAGGTAACCAGGATCAGAAGTTTCTTACCCACCTCTCTAGCAGAGGAAACAAATCCAAAACAGAGTCTCTGTAGATTCTTCAGTGGCTGGGCAAAGACAAGAGGATGCTGGTGAAGAGTGGGGCACTTTATCCACAGCGTAGCTCCGCCTTGGCCCAACTGCAAAGAGAAGAACCCCTGTCTTTGCCCAGGGTGTTGGCAGACCTACTCAGAGCAATGTTTGTGCTCCTCTAGAATTATCTTTCTAATCTAATACCTACTGTAGTTCCCACCACAATCCCCTGCAGCTAAAATATCGTTGAGTTTCTTACTGAAATACAAACATCTTAATGCAATGTTCAAGGTCTTTCCCAATCTGACCTTGAGTTCTGACCTCATTTGAGGCCTCTAGGTCCCAGAACCAAAACCTCACAGCAGACTCAACCTGCAGTTCTCTTTCCTTTCATTCCCAAAACCTAGTTCTACAAAAGATAACAAGCATTGGTGAGGATCAGGAGAAGTTGGTGGGAATGGGGAATTGTTTAGTCACTATGAAAAATAGTGCAGAGGTTTCTCAAAAAGTTAAACATAGAACTACCATGGGATCCAGCAGTTCTGCTTTAGGGTATGTTCACAGAATTGAAATCAAGACCTTGAACAGATATCTGCACTCCCATGTTCCTAGCAGCACTATTCACAATAGCCAAGGCCTGGGAACAACCTAAATATCCATTGACAGAGGACCAGATAAAGAAAATAAAATATACACATATGGTGAAGTATTATTCAGCCTTAAAAAAGAAGGAAATCCTGCCATTTGCTACCACGTGGATGAACTTAGAGGACATTATGCTACGTGAAATAAACTCGACACAGAAGAATAAATCCTGCTTGATCCCACTTACATAAGGCACCTGAAATAGTCAAAGTCGTAGAAGCCAAGAGTGAAATCATGGTTTCCAGGGGCTGGGGTAAGGAGTTGGATCAGGCGATGTTGGTCAAAGGTGCATACTTTCACTTATGTAAGAAGAAGTCCTAGAGTGCCTGTAAGTTTAACAAGACTGTATTGTATACATAAACATTTGTTAAGAGGGTAAGTTTTATGTTAAGTGTTCTTATCACCAAAAACAAAACCCAAAAAAACCCTAGTTGCAGTGTTACTCCTCCTGAAGTACTTTCCAGAACCCCATGCAAACCTGCCTCCCTGGTTTACCAAGGGTGTGCTCAGTCGCTCAGACGTGTCCCACTCTCTGTAACCCCATGGACTGCAGCCCACCGGGCTCCTCTGTCCATGGGATTTCCCAGGCAAGACTGGAGTGGTTACCATATCCTCCTCCAGGGGATAGACTTTAGTCATTTTACCAAGCACAAGGTTTGCTCAGAACATTGTAGAGGTTGAAGCCCTGGGGTCTGCCTGGCCTCAGCAGGGGATGGATCTTAAGCCTCATTGCCTCACACATTACACAGAGACAGCAATGCTCCCTCCTTCAAGGGTATTTCTAGGAATTAAATGTCCAATTTGCATGGGACATTGAGCACATTTTAAGGGTTCAACAAATAACTGACTTGTTACTAGACAGCTTGTGTTCACAAGTCGAGTTAGTGGGTTGTATCCTTCTTCCCCAGCAAGGTTGTGGGCTGCCCAGGGTGCGTGCGTGCATGCATGCATGCTAAGTTGCTCTGTCGTGTGCAACTCTGTGCTACCCCATGGACTATAGCCCACCAGGCTCCTCTGTCCACTGAATTCTCTGAGCAGGAATACTGGAGTGGGTTGCCATGCCCTCCTCCACTTCTCTGGTGGTGCTAGTGGTAAAGAACCCATCTGCCAATACAAGAGATGTAAGAGATGCAGGTTCTGTCCCTGGGTGGGCAAGATTCTCTGGAGGAAGGCTGCTGAGGGTGAATCCTTGTATTTGTCTACCTTCCTGCTTCTGCGTCATGTGGCCAGTACCTGTGATGAAGTGAGTTGATTGGAACTGACCTGAAGTCCCACAAGATGGCAGTAGCCACCAGTCCCAGAATCTTCCTTCTGGAACCCTACTCCAAAGCTGGACAGGCCAAAGTGACCCTCCTTTAATTGGCAGGAAGCAGCTGGTGGAGCTGAGGTCATTCCCAGCTTCCTGCCACCAGTGGCTATTTATTGTGGTGCCACCACCACGGATGAAGCCAGAGAGATAGCAGGGAGCTGAGCTCCTCCTCCCCACCCTGGGATCGGAGTCCTCGCAGGTCTCCTTGGTGTGAGGATGGTCCGGGGGAAGGCAGATGGCTGAAGGGAGGGTATGAGTGTTCCTCACTCGGTCATGTCTGACTCTTTGCGACCCCGTGGACTGCAGCCCGCCAGCCCCTCTGCCCATGGGATTCTCCAGGCAAGAACACTGGAGTGGGCTGCCATGCCCTTCCCCAGGGCATCTTCCCAACCCAGGAGTCAAACCCAGGTCCCCTGCATCGCAGGCAGATTCTTTACCGTCTGAGCCAGTGCGAAGGGAGGGGGCGGAAACCAAATACCGGAAATTCTGAGGACAGACAAGGAGCTGAAGGATGGATCGCAGTGTAGCCTGCAAGCCTTGAGGAAAAAGCGAGGGAGGAAGAGAGGAACAAGCCAGCACAGGTGTCGGAGGGACCAGAGCCTCTTCCTGGTCATCAGAGGAACCCTCAGGACATGTCCTGATGGCAGGACTTTTGTACACAGGGCGGGTGCACCCTGCCTCTCCGTCTTCAATGGAATGTGCTTTAGCTCTGAGTCACAGACTGAAATTTGCAGCAGGAGGAAAATATGGAGAATCATTAACTAAAATTTCTTTATGTACTTGTCTAAGTGAGACCCTATTAGCATCTGCAGGATTACTGTCTTCATCATCGTCACCCCAGTTGTCATCTCTTCTACTAATCAAAATTTACATGGGATAGTGCAAGTCAGTCAATACACTGATTTTTTAATGTGACGAATAATCAATACATTCATTTCTTGTGCCCTCAAGGTCTGAAAGCTCCCTTCGCCACTGATTTATTCTTTAATTAATGGGGGAGTAAATTTTTATATAAGACTATTTCACCTGTATTCATTCCCCCATTAGAAACATCACCTGCTCTGAATCCAGCTTTTTAAAGAAGTATCTAGCTCCTGTTTTCCAAAGTCTTTATTTTCCACAGTTCAAGTGGAAGGGTGAATAGCTCACATCCTCGTCCTTGTGTTTAAAAGGTCATCATCATGTTAGCATAGTCTCCCACCCGGAATACAAGCTCTGTGCTCTTCTCTGGAGAGCTGGTTGCCCACCCCCTGGGTTCGCAGCCCTGCACCATCATTGCCCATAGTTTAGCTGTGGTTCTCAGACCTTAACAATATCAGGATCACCTGGAAAGCATGCTGACGTGCAAAGAGCTGGGCCCCACCCTTCCCAGGTGATGCTAACACCGTCCCAGCTTTTAACACCTTCCCAGGTGATGCTAATGGTGCTGGTCCAGGAACCACACTGATAAGAACCACGGAATAGGAGGAATAAGGGGGTCTAGGACTCCAGCGCTCATTCTGCTTGGTAGGTTCTAGAATCCAGGGCCATGGTCAAGAAGACACTTGCTTTTGCTTAACTGGTATGAAGATGTGTGTGTGTGGGTACTTAGTCACTCAGTCATGTCCGACTCTGCGACCCCATGGGCTGTAGCCAGCCAGGCTCCTCTCTCCGTGGAATTCTCCAGGCAAGAGTACTAGAGTGGGCTGCTATTCCCTTCTGCAGGGGATCTCTCTGACCCAGGTATCAAACCTGCATCTCCTGCATTGCAGGCATATTCTTTACCATCTGAGCCACCAGGGAAGCCCGTGTGATTTCTTTTTATTTATTTATTTGGCTATGCCAGGTTTTAGCTGTGGCATGTGGGATCTAGTTCCCTGACCAGGGGTTGAACCCTAGCCCCCTGCATTGGGAGTGCAGAGTCTTAGCCACTGGACCACTAGAGAAGTCCCATGTGTGTTTATATTAATTCAAACTGTACTTTGGAAATGCCCCCACCCAGATCACCCCTCATCTGAATGCTAGTGTAGGAGAAGAAGCTTAACTGACAGGTTTGGGGGAGGTGATGGTTTTTGAATGCATTTGTATGTTTGTGATTGAGTTAGGAAACTTTCCTGACTCTCAAAACGCCCTTCCCACACTAGCTGGGATTCTGGAAGCCTCAGAATTCCCAGAGGACTGGATTCTAAAGAAAGAAAATGCCTGATTATAGGCTGTGTGTGTGTTGTCACTTAGTCGTGTCCGACCGACTCTTTGCAACCCCAGGGACTGTAGCTCGCCAAGCTCTGTCCATGGGATTCTCTAGGCAGGAATACTGGAGTGGGTTACCATTCCCTTCTCCAGGATTATAGGCTGTAGGAATCATTTTTTCTTTCTTTTTAAAAAAAAAAAAAATTCAAAAAAAAGAAAAGAAGAGGTGCAAAAGGAAACTAATCTACCAGGAGGTCTGGGAAGGCTGTTCCATATATATGAATCACTGAGGCATCAGAAAAGAGGTGAAAAGTCAGTCAGAGTCAAGTGAGTGTTGTTAGTCCCAGCAACATCTCAAGTAACTGGAAGGTAATTAGAGATGTATTTTATTTTAGCAGATATAGTCTTACCCTTCTTACAACATTCTCCAGTGACAGAGAAGGTCCATTTAAAGTGAAGTCTCCAGCCCTAAAGACTTATCAAGTCATTAATGTTTCATCCGAAAGAACATAATATCTTAAACTGAAAGTCAAGAGTAAGATCTGGACACACTCATTTAAAGATGAGAGTATACTACAGCTGTGATCTGGTGGGCGGGACATGGTTTTTACTTCCTCTTTCTTTCTCTTTTAGAAACAGGAAAGATCGACCAAGAGATCCACAAGTACAACACCCCGGGGTTCACCGGGTGCCTCTCCAGAGTCCAGTTCAACCAAATCGCCCCTCTCAAGGCGGCCTTGAGGCAGACCAACGCCTCAGCTCACGTGCACATCCAGGGCGAGCTGGTGGAATCCAACTGCGGGGCCTCCCCACTCACCCTGTCACCCATGTCGTCCGCCACCGACCCCTGGCACTTGGACCACCTGGATTCAGGTAAAGTCCAAAGCCCTGTCTTGGGTGGGATGCTTTCTTTCTTTAAGCCTCAGTCTTCTCATCTGTAAAATGGGAATTAATAACAGACCATCACTGGTGACGTAGTTGGGGGATTAAGGAAGTGAAGGAGCGTGTGAACACAGAGTACTTAGCACTTCCAAGGCTCTCAAAACGTACCACTGTATTCTTGCTCGGGGCCAGAAGTAAATAAGTTGAAGGTAAGGAGTATAGCATTATTGACTCTTCAGCATTTAAGGGAAATAATGAGATGCCTAAATGGATATCTTCAACGTGACTGTCGGATGATCTGATCAAATCACTTCCTTGCTTCTGCCTTTGTGATTCATCTGTCTTGCAGCCCCACCATCCGCGTTCTAATATTAAAAGATTACCTAGAACTGTACAGATTCCTCTCCCAACCATGTATGTATACAGACAACCCTGTAGCCTTCCAGGCTTTAGGGGTGCATGTAGGCTAAGAAAGCTCAGTGGATTTTTACCACTTCTGCAGATAATAATACTGGCCATTTGAAAGCATAGCACTAAAGTGAAGGGATGCAGCGGTCAGCTGCAAAATTAATTGGATGCAAATTCAGTGTCCACATGGCTCTGAGTGGTGGGGAGCCCATGGGTCCCCCTCCTCACTCTACCAGAGGGTCGGGCTGCTTGAGTAAGGCTCTCCAAGTCTCTGCTTTTTCACCCCTAAGGTATGAAGTGGGCGAGATCTCTGAGACACCTCCAGACCTACTGATGAGTCTCCAAAGTGATGGCTGACTTTTGCTGATGCCCAAGACAGGAAGGGGCGAGGCAGGGGCGGGAGGCCTGGTGTCTGATACCATCACTGCCTCTGCCCAGCAGTTTTCTTAACCTTGTTCCTCAGTCTCCCCACATCTGAAATCAAGACCTAACTTAGAGAATTCTTTGCAAGATGATGGATTTAAAACACTTGGCAGAGCGAGCCATCGACATGGAGCAAACTGGACAGAAGTTTAGCTGCAAAACTAAACACTAACAAAGTGGTTGCTTTTATTATATTAGACACAACTTGCTGTGATGTGTGAATGTCCAGTCAAGGCTTTCTGGTCCTCCCCAACCCTAGCTTCTGATTTGTAACAGTTCAGCATGGAAACATCGTGTGTTTGATTGCTTATACATATTCCACCCCCAAATACAGTTATTTATCAGCTTCCAGGAAGCTCTTGTCATCATGAATTCTTACCAGGATTTGCCTGCTAAGCATTGTGAAACTTCAAAAAGAAGCCAGAATTGCCCCGTTGTCAGAATAGACAGACTAAACAGTCCTCTTTGTTCCTCACACATGGGTTCCAATACCATGGAGAAGGTGTGTGCCAGGAGTACTTAAAAAGAATTCCCTTCTACGAGTATTGTCAGGATGACACGGCCGCTGGCTTTTGTTCGTGGGCTGGCTTGAACAAAGGAAAGCAGGCCTGGTGCTGCAAGAAGAAAAGTAGTGAAGATATGAGATGGGACAAGACCTTGTCAGGGCTGCGGAGGACAGACTTCTCAGATAGTTTCTTCCAAATGCCAGGGTGAGTGGAGACAAGGCCTAGCTTTGAAACAGGCAGGTTCCTAGGCTGTTACAGGTTCTCACTGCTTGAAGCCATCAGTGTGTGTGGTCTCCGTCGGCTGCCAAGAAATCAGTTTCAAAAGCCTCTAGACGCTCCTTTGGTCTAATGGGAGTTTGTATTTGTTCTTGCCTTAATTAGCAAAGTATTTGCTCAATGGTCTGTGAGATCCAGTTGTAAAGGCCAAAGTTTGAGTTGTTTGTTTTTCATGTTTATTAATTTGGCAGTACACGGTATCCTTAACTGTGGTGTGTGGGATCTAGTTCCCTGACCAGGGATCGAACCCGGGCCCCCTGCATTGGGAATGCAGTCTTAGCCACTGGGCCACCAGGGAAGTCCCAAGTTCATTTATTTTTTAAAAAATCATGCTTTATACGTGACAGTTTCATTCTTCTGATTGATGTAGTAATGTGTATAGGGAACATTTCAATGTTCAAATCAGAGTCTGTAACCCAGGTATTATGGTGGCCTGACCTATATAACATAATATCCATTTGCAGAAATTTTCTGTTTGTACTTGGGCAGAAAGTTCTTACTTGGTGTTTACCATTTGCTATATGAATCTCATCAACATAGTTTATTCCACAATTGGAATTCCAGGTTAATTTCTGTAATGGATAAATGCTTATAAAGAAATATGTGTCTCCATCTCACAAACTTTATTAAGAGAACAGAAAACCACTTATGAAATGTAATACAGAAGGCTTGTTTGGGTAACATTTTTTTTTCTTTTAGGTGAGTGGGAAAAAGAAAGAATGGGTGTTGGGGGCTGGACGAGGGGCAGAGAAAGAAATAGATATAAGGGAAGAATTACTTAATATCAGACCCCAGAGGCTTAGTGTCTAGGAGGCCAAACTTTCCCTCTACTGTTCCTTTCTTCGCAGAGAAAAAGAAGGTGGGGGAAACCTCTGGGAAGAACAAATGGGCTTCTAAAGGAAAAACAGGAGATAAAGTTTGTGATAATGTTTGTTCATGCCGGCGTGAATGGTCTTTGTCCTTTTCAAGGCCATAAAACCTCCCCTGGAAAGGGTGATTTCGGGTAGCTTTGCTCTTGGCCTCCTTCCTGGAACTTAAAAACTCCCAGAAAAGGAGATTTATGCTCTCATTCTATTTGTAGTCTGATATGGGAAGTTCCCAAAAGATTTCTTTCTGCGTTTGTCAAATCCCAAATATCCTTGGCTTAAAGTAATCTTCATACCAACTCTGGGGTTCTTAGTAGCTCCTCACATCAGCAATTGCAGCCTAATTCTTGTGAACCTAAATTCATCACTCTGAATTCTGATTCCGGGGTTTTGCTTTCCTGGATAATCTTTTTTGTATGATTCAGAAGTCTCACTATCAGATATTCAGAAACAAAACAACAGTGCATACACAAAGATGCCCTTTCTAGCTGTAAATCGTGTTACTTGAATCTGTGCAGGTACAGGACAGGAAGAGCTCCTTAGTCCTGGTTTGAATAGAAGGTGCTTGGAAGGAGATTCATGTGATCTTGTGCCTTGAAAAGTGTGGTGCTCACCAGCGGTATGAGTATCATCTGGAAGCTTGTTGGAAATGCAAAGCCCAGGCCCTATCCCAGACCCACTGAGTCGGCACCACATGTTAGCCGGATTCCCCCCATGACTTATCATATGCACAACAAAGTCAAGAGCACTCGCCTCTATCGCAGATGCATTTCACATCACCTAGGGAGCTTTTCTAACCCCTGTCTTTCAGGCCGCACCCCTGACCAGTTAAATCAGATACTTTAGGGGTAAAATGGCCAGAGATGTAAAACCTCCCCCAGGTGATTCTAATGTGTAGCAAGATGGAGAATCACTCAATCACTAAATAAGAGAGCTTAATAATGGCCCTCTTGGCAAACCCTTCAAAGTAAGGTTACCAAAAGAAAAGAACAGCAAATACCCAGAAACAAGTTTATGAAAAACAATGAGGCCCTTCTGTGGTGGAGGCCCTTCTGTGGTGAAATCCCAAATTGAAAGGCTATGGCAGTGAGCTTGCCAAAGATTGGGCTCCTCTGACCATTTCACAAGAAAGCTCATGGGGACTGAGTTTTTATTGGTACTTGAGGAAAACTAGTCTGCCTACTGGCAACTGGAAAAACACACTTGGAACAAACAAACAAGAAATCACAGTGTGGGGTCAGACTCAAGGCATCCCATGAAAATGCATCTTCATAGAAGGAGCTTCAGCTGGAGGAAGATGCCAAGTTATTATTCAGTTTTTTTAAATCAGTTGCAAGCTTAATTTGGAAGGACTTGGGGGGGGGGGGGGCCGGGGAATGCTGCTTTAAAATGAAGCATGCACATTTATTTTAAAATAAAGCATGCCCCTTGCTGTGAAGATAGGGTATCTGTGGCTTTAGTATTAAAGGGAACTGCATGCTCAACTGGGGCTTCTCTGGTGGCCCAGACTGTAAAGAATTTGCCTGCAGTGCAGGAGACCTGGGTTCGAGCCCTGAGTCGGGAAGATCCCCTGGAGAAGGGAATGGCAACCCACTCCAGTATTCTTGCCTGGAGAATTCCGTGGACAAAACCAGGTGGGCTACAGTCCATGAGGCCACAAAGAGCTGGACAGGACCGAGCAACTAACACAACCCAGTGAACAACTAAGGGCTCTTCACTTCATGCTCACACTGGAATATTTGCTTTGCAGAGACCTGGAAACTGGAATTCCAGACATCCACCCTTTGGTCTTACGTTCTTTATGCTCCCTTATATTTCTTTCTTATATTTTAGATGATATCAAATGACAAAGGCAGAATGGATTCCAAGGTATGCTGCCTTCATGTAATAAGATTTTTTTTCTCTTCTGGAACACTACTGACTGTGCTGCTCATTGCCTCTCTAACGCCTGTTAGGCTCTGTCAGTGTTTTTTAAAGTGAGGAACATTCACGGTTGGTCAGGCTGTGCACTGCACAACTACAAAGGATGCATTCACATTGTAGTCTGTGGCTCCTAGAGCAGGGCTACATGGTGGCCTTGACAGGGGCTCACCAGATCATTATGTGAAGAAAGTGGGTATGTCATCACATGGCATAATATAAAGTTATTTCCTTTTCATCTCTTTTTCTGTCCTTCTAATTTTATTAAAGAGAGTCTCTATTTGGTTCTGGCATGCCTTTAACAGCTCTCTCACCCACCCTATTCACCCTTTAATAAAGAGCAGGCTTCTGTTTAGAGCCTTGACAGGCCGTAGAAGTACTCAGTAGGGTTATAAAGTTTTATCACTGCATTAGTTTAAATAAGAAATCAGGTCAATTTAATGAGAATAAGTAAACAATAATTAGGTTTTGCATGTATATGACAAAAACCATGATTCCCATGTGCATGGAGTTTGGCAGCCACTGGGTGGAATGTCAGGATGATCATAAACACAAAGCCTGGAGCTGTGAGAGTGCATTTTTTATAGGGGGA